TTATGAAGATACGTGGAGTACGGAAAGAATGGGTACAACGCCCAACAGCATTTCTGGTTCATTTTGAGCAGGACTCGCTGTCGATGTCGCCGCGGCCTGTGTCCATTTGGGACAGAAGGCCGCCTGCCCAACAGCGGCCGCTGTTGGTTTGAGGCAACAATTGCTGTTGGGTATTGTACCCATTTTTTCCGGACCCATATCGGGCGTCCACAAAGGAGTTGAAGAAGAATTATGCTAACGGAGTTCCCCACATAAAGAGATTAACGGTTTCGTGGGACCCATTTTCTTGATGCCCTCCTCGCTTTGGCGGGGCCCCGCTGGAAGGGGGGAGGGCTACGAAACCTGGCGAAGAGTAATGCTTTCCGCGACCCTCCTCGTTCAAGCGCGGCCTCTCTGGAGGAGTGGAGGGGGGACACGAAACCATGTAAATAGTATGGTTTGCGGATACCCTCCTCGCTCAGGCGGGGCCTCCCTGGAGGGGTGGGAGGGGCACGAAACCATGTAAGTAGTATGGTTTTCGGATACCCTCTCGCTCAGGCGGGGCCTCCCTGGAGGGGTGGGAGGGGCACGAAACCATGTAAATAGTATGGTTTTCCGATACCCTCCTCGCTCAGGCGGGGCCTCCCTGGAGGGGTGGGAGGGGCACGAAACCATGTAAATAGTCTGGTATTCCGATACCCTCCTCGCTCAGGCGGGGCCTCCCTGGAGGGGTGGGAGGGGCACGAAACCATGTAAATAGTATGGTATTCCGATACCCTCCTCGCTCAGGCGGGGCCTCCCTGGAGGGGTGGGAGGGACACGAAACCATGTAAATAGTATGGTATTCCGATACCCTCCTCGCTCAGGCGGGGCCTCCCTGGAGGGGTGGGAGGGGCACGAAACCATGTAAATAGTATGGTTTGCGGATACCCTCCTCGCTCAGGCGGGGCCTCCCTGGAGGGGTGGGAGGGGCACGAAACCATGTAAATAGTATGGTTTGCGGATGCCCTCCTCGCTCAGGCGGGGCCCCCCTGGAGAGGTGGGAGGCGCACGAAACCATGTAAGTAGTATGGTTTGCGGATACCCTCCTCGCTCAGGCGGGGCCTCCCTGGAGAGGTGGGAGGGGCACGAAACCATGTAAATAGTATGGTTTGCGGATACCCTCCTCGCTCAGGCGGGGCCTCCCTGGTACGCCATGGTATGGTATGGTACGGTATGTCCACAAAGGAGTGGAAGAAGAAAAACGCCATAAACACAAATTTTTGGCGCTCCGCGCGGATTTCTTGCATCCGCGCTGGGCCCTCCCGGCGGCGCCTCCTGCGCCGCCCCCGGCGCGCTCCGCGCGCCAGGGAGGGAGGTCCAGCGCCGATCCAAGAAATCTGCGCGGAGCGCCAACAGTTTACGCGTATGGCGTTTTTCCTTTCCCGAGGAGGGCCGGGACCTCCGCGACCTGCCGCCACCCAAGGCCACCGCCCCAGAGATGGACGACCGCGTGCCGTGCCCACACTGCGGCAGGCGCTTCGGCCAGCAGCAGGCCGAGCGGCACATCCCCGAGGCTGGATCTGTGACCATCTCCACCGCCCGGGGTATCCGATATCCATGGGCCCCCGCGAGGCACCCGATATGCGCAGATGGCACCTATAGAACACCATGTCTGGCCAGGGCCATCCTTCGCCCAAGGATGGTGCATACAGTCGGGGCACTGAAGAAGGAACCGTTTCCGTTGGGGAGGGGCTCGGTGTCCCTTGATTGCTTGTCAGTGTGCTCCAGGTTTTCCTCAAGTCGGTTTACCATGGTAGATCGAAATTTAACTTGTGGGAAAAACGGGCCTCGTCCCTTAGACAGGGTTCCTTAGGTCAAAGGCCCCCACTGTGGACCCTCCTGGCCTCGGCCAGGGGGGCGCCTACACAAGTCCGGGACCCAGGACGGCCCTGGCCAGGCATGATGGTGGTGGTGTACAGGTGCCACCTGCGCAGTAGACGTGAGCGCCCTCGGGCCCGGGAGGGCCCACCTATCTATCTATCTATCTACCTATCTATATATATACAGATATATACTGTATGTCTGTCTGTATTGTAATATTATGTTATATACTATACTTATAATGTAATGTGTTGTATTTTTGGTAATGTAATGCAATGTAATGTAATGCAATGCAATGTAATGTAATGTAATGTAATGTAATGTAATGTAGTGTAATGCAATGTAATGCAATGTAATGCAATGTAATGTAATGTAATGTAATGTAATGTAATGTACTGTAATGTATACATGTATGTATGTATGTAGATAGGTAGGTCGGTGTGTATGTATGTATGTATGTATGTATGTATGTATGCATGCATGCATGCATGCATGCCTGCATGCATGCATGCATGCATGTCTTCTGTCTGTCTGTGTGTATGTATGTATGTAGATATATATCATATATATTCATGTTATGTATGTATGTATGTATGTATGTATGTATGTATTTATGTATGTATGTATGTATGCATCCGTGCATGCATGCATGCATGTATGCATGCATGCCTGCATGCATGCATGTAGTATGCCTGTATGTATGCATGCATGCATGCATGCATGCATGTATGTATGTATGTATGTATGTATGTATGTATGTATGCATGCATGCATGTATGTATGTATGTATGTATGTATGTATATGTATATATACACAGATACATATATATATATATATGCCCTGCCTCCTGGAGCCCTGGCCCTGGGGACGCCGGTCGCCTGGGCGGCGGAGAGGCAAAAAACAGACCCGGCATCGGAGCCTCCCGCAGTGCAAGAACACGAAGGCCAAGCCCAAGGGCCCGCCATCCGGAGCCGCCGTGCGGAAGCCCCCCGGGCGCGGGTGACCACCGCGGTCGGGCACGGTCGGCGTCCTCCCGCCGCCGGCAGTCCTGCCTGCCATCCTCCCTCCAGGTGCTCTCCGCAGCACGCATCGGTGCTTCGCGGGCGAAGATGATTTTTTCCCAACCCTCCTGCGTTGGGTACTCGTTTTGAATAGAGCACTGCGGTCTCCGTTCTCCTCCTCCCGCCCCCCCCCTCTCTTCCCTCCTCCTCTCCTCTCTTGCTTGCCTTCTCCTCCTCTCTTCGCTCCTCCTCTTCTCTTCTCTTGCCTTTCACGTCATCCCTGGCGGGCTGCGATCTGCGGGACTGTCACCACTTTCGAGGGCTGCTGGTGGGTCCAGCGGAGTGAGGCACCACGGGGACTCAGATTAGACCTCGCCATCCCTGGGGGGGGGTTGCGATCTGTGAAACTGTCGCCACTTTCGAGGGCTGCTGGTGGGTCCAGCGGAGTGAGGCACCACGGGGACTCAGATTAGACCTCGCCATCTCTGGGGGGGGGCTGCGATCTGTGAAACTGTCACCACTTTCGAGTGCTGCTGGTGGGTCCAGCGGAGTGAGGCACCACGGGGACTCAGATTAGACCTCGCCATCTCTGGGGGGCTGCGATCTGTGAAACTGTCGCCACTTTCGAGGGCTGCTGGTGGGTCCAGCGGAGTGAGGCACCACGGGGACTCATATTAGACCTCGCCATCTCTGGGGTGCTGCGATCTGTGAAACGGTCGCCACTTTCGAGGGTTGCTGGTGGGTCCAGCGGAGTGAGGCACCACGGGGGCTCATATTAGACCTCGCCATCCCTGTGTGAAACTGTCGCCACTTTCGAGGCTGCTGGTGGGTCCAGCGGAGTGAGGCACCACGGGGACTCAGATTAGACCTCGCCACCCCTGGGCGGCTGCGATCTGTGAAACTGTCGCCACTTTCGAGGGCTGCTGGTGGGTGGCCAGCGGAGTGAGGCACCACGGGGACTCAGATTCTGACCACGAGCAATGCTCGCGTGCCCTTGCTCTGCGGTTCGTGCCACGTGGCGCTGCGACTCGAGCTGGCGGTCGTCCTTCGGACCCGCAGAAACATCTGCTGAGCTCGATGAGCTAGGGGAACTACAGGAAAGAAGTGCAGGAAACGGAGGCCGGTCATGCACTCGCCGATACCTCGTTGCTCTGTCATCGTCTTTGCTGTTGCATGATCCTTATCTGGCCTGCCGGCGCCGCGGCTCGAGCTGGCGGTCGCCCTTCGGGCCCGCGGGAACATCTTCTGAGACAAGTGGACGCCGCCGCCTTACTTGCAGGCAGCGCATTGCATTCGCGGACAGCAGCATGGCAGACCGCAGTGAGATCCTCAGTCGCGTGGTGTTGCCAAGCCTGGTGGAGACGCGCGTGATCGACCTGAAGTCCCAATCGCGCGTGCACTGTACCTGCGTGGCGTTCAGGCACGCGCGTGATGCTGCTCGCTCCGCGTTCAACCAGTACGTCGCCAGTGCAACTTTGGACGATGGACAACCGATTGATGATACGCGACCCCGGCCTTGAGTTTCTCTCCCGCGGGCCGCCCGCAGACCTGGCGGCGCGCCTGCGAGCGTTCAGCTCCCGCGCTGAAATGCGCGGGAAGGAGGCGGAGAAGCTAGCGGGCGAGCTACGCCTCGCTCGTTCCTTGCACTCTAAACAAGTTTTATCATGTGGAACTCTGCGACGACATGGCGCAGGCAGCGCTGCGGGTTTAGCTCGCACTTGAAAAACGCGGCAGTCTTCTGTCTCCTCCCGCCACTTTCATCGTCGTCCTATTCCCCGCCTCACCTTCTCCATGCATGCTGCTGCTTCCGCGATGGCCTTTCGCCCCCCCCGCCCTCCATTCCATCCCTCTCCTACCCCTCGTTCCCGTACCCGTTCTTCTTCGATCCTGGGGCCTCAAGCCTCGTTCTTTCGATCGTCGTCCTGTGAATCGTGCAACGCATGCGCATCCCATGTAGCTTGCACAGCAAATCGCCGCGTCTACACTGTCGTTGTTCCTGCTAATGTTGGCATACTCCTCTTGCCATGTGATGCACGTGGGTTGGGTACGTCGCAGGGTAATTTTTGGCTCGCCGTCGGGGCGGCCCGTCCCAGGGCGGCTGGGTAGGTCTGTACCCCTGCGGTGGCACATCAGGGCAGGAACTTTCCAGCCGCCTTGGGACAGGCGCTCCCCCGTGACGGCAAAGCGTCGCCGTCGCCTGGTCAGGCCCACCCTGGACCCCAGGATGGTGCGCAGGAGGCCTTCCTGGCAGGAGGGCGCCCGCACACCAGGCGAGTGCCCCCGGGGCGGCCCCGGCCAGGCACGGTGGTCGTGGCGCACAGGCGCCCGCTGCGTGCCCAGAGCTCCGATGTCCCGCTCTTCTCTGCGCGGGGTTCCCAGAAGCCCCGACCCGCTCTCCCCAGGGTCAGTTCTTCATCCCGAGCCGCTTCCGGACGGCCTTGGGGCCCGAGGACGGACCCCAGGAGGGTCGAAGCGGCGAGAGCCCTCCGCCTTGCTGCTTTGAAGGCGCCGGACGTCAGGGTGAGTACGCCCCTCCCTGGAAGAGAGCGGTGCGGCGGTGCGGCGAACGCCGTGCGTGCCGCCCTTCCGAAGGGGGAGGAGGAGGAGGAGGAGGAGGAAGAGGAGGCTGAGGAGGAGGAGGAGGAGGAGGAGGAGGAGGAGGAGGAGGAGGAGGAGAATGATGAGGAGGAAGAATATGAAGAATAAGAAGAGAAGGAGGACGAGGAGGAGGAGGGGACGGAGGAGGAGGAAAAGGAGGAAGAGGAGGAGGAGTAAACCCAATAATCACAAACGATGTTAGAATTAACCCTCCCTCCAAGCTCCCTTTTTCATAGGCCCCTACAACGGTTCATTTCCATTGAGGGAACTGCCCCGTTGGAAGACACCTGTCTGAAGTCCCTGAAGCATGCCACACCATGGTTCTCGGGGTTTCAGCGCTACGGACCAACCTGCTGCGTCTTGACGATCTGGAATCGTGCCTGAATGCCATTCGTGGGACTTCAACGCAGCGAATCAGCATAACTGTTGCACCTGAATCTTTTCAAAACACCATTCCTGGCACGTTGATCATGGGAATCCGTGAAGCTCTTGAAAATGCTTCAAACGAGTGTGCGCCGCGCTAAAGCGACAGCCACATTTTGAAAAAGGGAGCGCCCTCAACCCGTGAAGCTCTTGCAAATATTTAAAGCGGATGTGCGCCGCGTTAAGACGAGAGCCACATTATAAAAAACCACCCGCCCTCAATCCGTGAAGCTCTTGCAGTCTGCAGTCTTTTAAAGAGCATGTGCGCCACTCTAAAGCGAGAGCCACATTTTGAAAACCACCCGCCCTCAATCCGTGAAGCTCCTGCACATGTTTAAGACGAGTGTGCGTGGCGCCAGGGCGAGAGCCACGTGTTGAAGACCACCCGCCCTCCATCTTTGAAACGGCTTCCACTTTTTACGCCTCAGGGTCATCCGTGGTGAGGTTGTCTCAGGCGAAACGCCGGGCCCGACGTAAAAGCTGGCCTCGGGGTGCGACAGAGAAAAGTTACTTATAAGGAAACGGAAAGGAGGAGGAGGAGGACGATCAAGACGAATACTAATAATAATAATAATAACAATTCGCATAATCATAATAACAAGAATAACAAGACGAACTTTCTGAATAAGACGAATCCTAAGACGACCAATACTAATACTACGAAGGATCTAATCCATATCCGGAATAATAAGAAGACGAACAGTAGTACGAGCCATATTATTACTAGTAATGACACTACACGCATAATCATACTAATCTGAATAACTGTAATGGGAATACCAATCCTAAGATGATCATCGATAACTCTAATGCTAGCACTAATTATGATAACATGACGAACCATAATCATGATACCAATAAGACAACGAATAATCAGAGGAGGAGGAGGAGGATTCTGATGATGACGATGCTGATGATGATGATGATGATGATGATGATGATGTTGATGATGATGATGCTGATGATGATGATGACGATGATGCTGATGCTGATGATGATGATGCTGATGATGATGATGTGATGATGATGATGATGATGATTTGATGATGATGATGGATGATGATGATGATGATGAGGATGCTGATGATGATGATGATGATGATGATGTGATGATGATGATTCTGCTGCTGCGCTGATTGATGATGATTGATGATGATGATGATGATGAGATGATGCAAATGATGATGATGATGATTTAATGATGATGAGCATGAATGATGATGGCGTGATGATGATATGATGATAGATGATGATGCTTATGATTTATAGATGATGATTATGATGATGATGATAGATGATGATGCTGATGATATGATGTGTGATGATGATGATGATGATGATGATTGATGATGATGAATGATGAGGAATGATGATGATGATGTGATGATGATGATGATGATGATGATGATGATGATGATGATGAATGAATGATGATGATGATGATGATGATTGAATGACTGATGATGATTATTAATGATGATGATGGAGGCTGAGGTTGGATGATGATGATGATGATGCTGATGATGATTGATGATGATCAGGGCGAGGAGGGAGGGTGAGAGGAGGAGGAGGTGCGAGGGATGAGGATGAAGAGGGGAGGAGGATGATGCAGGATTAGGAGGATGGCGGGAGGGG